AATATAAATTAAGATACAGTCATTTAAAATGAAATTCAGGAGAGGAGAGTTTCTCAGGTTCTACCTTTTGTTTGTTATTTTGAACACCTTCTTCAATTTTGTTTTAGAGAATCGTATTATTTGACATTTCTTGTTATTAAAAATAGGTTAAGGTCAAATACTCTGAATCTTGATTTTTTTTTTCTTTCTCTTTCAGTTGCCAGAGGGAACATGCATTTTTCAGAACAAGATAGAAATAAGGAGAGAAAGATAGAGGCAGAGGGAGAAAGTACCCTGGAATGGAGTGTGGCCATGCAACAATCCCTTTCCCCCCATTTCTCTGTCCTATATGGATTTCAGACATGCATGCCTATGCTTCCCCATATAGTTTTCAAGCCCTTTGGGGCTGGAACTTGACACAGTCAGCCATATATGGTCACCTGGCTCCCTTAACCAGTAGACCTTGGAGAGAGTCCTATTTTTTATTATTAAATAACCCAAAATGAGAATTTTAATTTACACTAGGTACCGCATATTTATTCATTGTGTTCTGAATTAAACATTTTTACTTTTCAAGTCCTTTGTTTCATAGCTCACTAGTAATTATTAAATGTCAACGAACTTGTATGCTTTAGATAAATACACTCCCCAGGAATGGTTCCAGCAAACGTGTCTTGTGGGCCCTTTGACCCTACAACGCAGGAAATCCCAGTACGCAGGTAGAAAAGACATGGACCCTACACGCAGCAGCTCGGGTTGTAAACCAGCATGTCTACCCACGTTTAGACTGATTGTCCTCTTGAGTCCGAGAACAGACCATTTCTTGTTCATTCTGTCACACCCGGTTTCAGAGTTACATCTTTTTTCTTTAACACTGCTGCAATCCAACTACATGGGTGTCCTCACCTTGGGAAATTGCTCTTCTGGGATAACCTGATTTTTAATGACTTCCTAAAGAGTGAAGATGTGCAATTTTTTTCTTAATAAAAGAAATATTCATTTCTAATGAATTCTCTAGAAAATGAGTGCTTCCTCTTGAGATGACCAGGGGCTTTGGGATTCAGATCAGTCAACCTGACAAGGATGGCGGATGGAGCAGAGGGCAGGAAAGGAAAGGCGAAGAGGAGGAAGAACAGCTTAGTGTCTGTCCCCTCTAGGGGCTCTTCTGCCACTCCAGGGCCACCCTGAGCCCTGACAAACCTCTCCCTCATTCTCACTGGTTCCCCTCCTTCCCCCATGGCATTAGGGACAGAAATCCTGTTCTAGGTGACATAAAAGGCACCAGAATTTCTGCTGCCTGTCTGTATTCTTGCTTCCCTGATGGGATTCTCCAAAACTGGCTTTTCCCACTCACCCTTCCTGTTAACTCCAACTCACTTTCTGCTGTTCTCTCTCAGAGGCAAGAACATTCTGGAACCAAAGCTACAGCAAAAAAGGACATGGGATGTTCTCAGAATCAAGAACTCTGTGCTGTGTGAACACATGAAGGTATATAGATTCCTTTAGTGATTGGACAAAATTGCTTTTGTTTAAAGGGCTCAGACAAGGGATGAAGTAAAAGAAGTATTTTTCTGCCTTTTTCCCCCTTCAATTGCCAGAGTGCACATGTGCTCATGAGAGAGAGAGAGAGAGAGAGAGAGAGAGAAAGAGAAAGTCCTCACCCTCCTAATGGATTGCAGTCACCCCACAATTGCATCTCCTCGATTTCTCTATCTTACTAAGGTATTGGGCACACACAAAGACCCAGAGTGTTTTGTAAGTTGCTAGCGGGGGATTCGAACCACAGTTGGCCATGTGCAATCCATGTCCCAGTGCACTGCACTTAACTTCTGCTGGCGGCCAGTATTTTTCCCCTGTCTCAGTCACAGGTATATCCACTAGAGGCATTGTTTGACTTCTGATTTAGATCAGCACAAAGTTTAACCCAGGGGTCAGAAACCCAGGGTAAATAATACTAACCCATTTCATTGTATTCAGAACAATTATCCCTTCCTTTTCTCCTGTCTTCACAAATAGGAGTAGGACTGGACAGAGCTACTAACCTGACAGAAGGACTTTGTTACAGGGGTTGGGAATTCACTTAACCTTACTCAGAACCATATAAAGGACTATAGAACTAATTTTTGTTGATTTGAAGGACTGCAATTATTCTACTGCATTTTTCCTTTTTTTTTTTTTTTTTGGTGAAAGAGGCACACTTACAGTGGCTTAGCTATTATTATTCAATAGTGGCTTTTCTCAGTTAACGTTGATTGAGAAGCATTTATGGAAAAAATAAGCAAAAGTCTTGCTGTTAAAACAATTAATGTCTTTTTCTCTAATCACACACAAACATAGTTTATTTATCCAAAGCTCAAAAGACAGTGGTTCTGGCACTAAGTGAGAGGCTGTGAGCTCAGTGCTGAATCTGGGTCTGGACTGGAAAGGATGCTCTCTGAGAGGCTCCTCACCTCTAACATTCTCCGATTCAATCCCCAGTGCAAAATACAGTTACCACCCAAAACTGCCTCTGGTTTTCACCAGTGAAAAAAATCTCTGCATATTTGCATACTTCCTTCCATTTCTCCATGAATTTCAAAAGGGAACGTCTACTAAAAGATGCAGCAGAGAAATATCGTTGCCAGTAACCAAGTCTTTAAATCAGCTTTTAGTACTAGCATTCCATCAGACCAAGATGCCACCCCGCCAACGCCGCCAACACACACTGAGGCAGGCACTTACAACATCGCTCTCCCCAGAACTCTAACCATGGGTGTCCACACATAAGGTCTGGCACTTACAGTAAACCCCTGGGATTTGGAGTCAAGGATTAGGGACCTCACCTATACTGCCTTGTGGACAAAAGAGCGTTAGTGCCAAACAGGGCTGGGAGCATGGCACATACCCAATGATCTCTGCTCACCAGGGAACCAGTCCCACCACTATTTGCTGAGGAGCTAACAATAAGCAAATAATTTCTTCATGGCTTTGTTTCCCCACCTATTAAATGGTAAGGGAAAAAAAAAAAAAAACAACTTCACCTACCTTTCGGAGTGGTTGTATGGGATGAAACTAACACACGCACATAGAATAACTAGGGAAGTGCCAGGCATGTAACAGGGACTCAACAAATCCTTAAGAGTGCTGATTATTATTATTACTTGTTGCCCCAGAATAGCTTAGCAGCCTGAAAAATAAGTCAAAATGGCGAAAACACACAGTGTGAATTTGGGGTCTTTCCTCAAGTTCCCAAGGGACCAGTTCTCATGCCAAGGGAAGTGGCCAGAGCACAAATCCAAGTGCTAAGCACCTAGGAAGAAACGGCCTTGGGTGTCAAGAGCTAAATCTTGCCTAGTGAGGAGCTAAATCTTGCAGAGTAACTCTGGGGTCCTACCTCATTTATCCAGGTAATTCGGAAGAAGCCAGCGCTCTCTCATCAGCGAGGTCTGGCCTGTGAGGGAGTGGCCTTTGTGCTCAGGAACCGCACCAGAAGCCTGTGTGGAGGGAATCCCTGTCAACTCCTTGGGGCTCTGCAGCTCGCTGCTGCTCGGCAGAGAGGTCGCTGCTCCAGGGGTGCCCTGGAACTGGAGCAAATGACTTCGCTATCTCCTGGCAGCACCGGCTGAGACAACTTCTCCTCTGGAAGGGTCTGGCCAATCTTGGGGCCCAGAAAAGGGAATTGCCCTAAATTGTTTCTCTCTGCAGGTACAGAAGAGCAGGAGGCGTCTACAGGGCATCTGCAGAGAAGCTTAGGCCCCTAAAAACCTGCACTTGGGAGGTCTGAACTAGGAGGACCAGAGGTTGTACTGAGCTCCAGACCCAGGGAACCTGGAAATGTTACTTGTATCCAGCCAGCTGGATCTTAGACCCACCCAACTCAGCCAAAGGCACCACTTGAGGGGTGTGCACCTCCTGGAAAGAGCAGCGTTAAGTGAAGTGCTTCCCGACCTTGGCAGCTCACTGAGTTTCCCCACCCAGAAAAAGGGAGTTGGGCTGCTCAAACGAGAGGAGGGTTCCTCTTCTTTAGGTCCCCCTCCCGAAAATAGAAGGTCTTGCAGTCGAGATTATTGAGGTGCAAAGGAGGGAAAAGCCTAGCCTTTCGGAATCCGCCAAAGCATCTGGAACAACCAGAAGCATCTACCTGGGGCTGCAAGGTGGGTAGACCCACCTCTGCCTGGACCCGGGTCGAGAGCTGGGTCTCCCCTAATGCGATGCCCACACCCCGGCTCTGCGTTTCCCCGCATGCCCTACTGCGCTGCGCTCTGGATCCTCCCGGGCGCAGCGCGGAGCTCCCGCCCTCTCTTGCTCCGCCCAGGTGCGATTTGCTGTGGGGCGCTGGGGCGGTGGGGTGGTGGGGTGGTGGGAAAGTGCATCGATCCAGTGCAGCCCCCACCTTTGCGCTTCTCTATCCTGTTCAGACCCTTGTCTACTGATCAGGCGTTGAAACTCTCCCCTACCCCGCACACACGTCTCCCCGGAAGGCCAGGAGTCCCCTTCCCACCCTGCGGCTGGAGAAAGCCTGGACTCCCCAGCGTCTTGCCAGGAAGGTGGGCGTGAAGACTGACCAGAGGTGAAGCTGTAGAGGCAGAGGGTGCCCCGAGGAGGGAGGGGACTGGGGTCCTCTTAGAACCAGGAAATGCATCCCTAGTCCAAGATCTGACTATTTAGTCACAACCCCGCCATACAAACGCATTCAGATTCTCGAGGGGCGGTGTGCTTTCTCCTGGGAGCGAAATGGCCCCATCCTAGCACCCAGTAGCCCGCCGGGTCAAATCCCCCTTCCCTCCCTGGTCCCGGCATTCCAGGGCTCCATCCGTGTCTCTGCACCTCCGCGGGTACCCCGCTCCTCCCCCATCTGTATTTACACACCAGGGCCAGCGCCCTCCAGACTCAAAATCCCTTTTCCTCTGCTCAGGGCTGTCCCCTCGCCCACATTAGCACATGTTCGTTTCCCTCACGCGTAGGCAGATCTATCCCGATCCTCAGGCGCCTCCCCCACCCCACCCCACCCCCCGGGAACCTTTCCTTCCCCAGACACTTACTTTACCCCCAGATCTGCACTTGCAGTTCCCACCGAGCACACGGGTTTCATTACCGGATTGGGGGTGGCGTGCGCAAAGGTGAACTGACTCTGACTCCCACCGCGTTGGACAGAGCCCCAGAGTGTGGCCGCAGCCTTCCCCTGCACCCCACTTCTCCTACCGCACGGCCTCTGCTCCTTCCCAGCTCCTGCGGGCAGGACCGGCACGGCTGGGTCCCAAGACCTCCCCTCAGGAGCTGCAGGAAGTGAAAAGTCGAATGGCAAGAGCACCCAGCGGAATGGGCAGCTGTATATGGCCAGGGGGGCTGGGGGAAGGGCGCAAGCGACAACTAGACGTGCAACTTGCACGGCACGGGGTGGGCACCGCGCAGGTGACGGGCGGGGGTCACAAAAGTTTGCATACTATAGCAGGAGAGCCTGCAGCACCGGAGCGAACAAGGTGGACTCCCCTAGCCAGGCCGGGTCTCTCTGAAGGTCTTCGCCGAGAGGACCCCAAGGTTTGAGCAGCCCTGGCAATAAGCTGGGGTGAGAGTTCTCCTCCACTTGTTTCTAGAGGGGCGGCCTAGACATCTGGGAGGAGGGACGATCCCGCGCTCTGCGAAAAGCAACAGGCGGCAGCACTTACCTTGCGCCAGTCCCGGGCCGGGGTGGCTGCTCCATTCTTGTGAAGGATGGGAAGAGGCGTGCGGTGCGTAAGCTTAGGGATGTGCGCGCTGCCGGGGCTGCAGCGGCCGCCACCTCCAACCGGCGGCAAGCCG